TTTTGCTCGATTTGTAAACAAAACTTGTCAGCGGTGAAAAATATACTATTGGAAACAACCTAACCGAGCGAAATTCACAATAGCGCTATTCTTCATCGAATGAGCGTCATAATACCAAATGAAAACTCGTTCGATCAGCACTTTCGACCACAGTCGAATGCAACTCATAATAGGTGCCTTATTTTTATATTTCTATGTGGGACTGCATTTTCAACAAATGCTTACATAAACAAGTAATTTTTAAGAAAAAAAAACAAAACCGATTTCAATTCTCATCTAAAAATTTAAGATTATCGTTAATCTATTCATGATCTACCTTTCCTTTAAACATGAATTATAGTAATCGGTTAACGTGGTCCAAAGTTACGCGGTAACATACATAGAAAAAAATAATAAAAAAATATTCCGACGAATTGATAACCTTATCCTCTTTGTGAAGTCGGTTATAAACAAATGCACCAGCAAGCTTTCAGCGTCAAATGATTTCAGGGTAAAATTGTCACAGCTCCCAATAAACTTGAAGGAATCAATGAAATCATCAAAACAATTTTAGTCCTCACATTAAAGCTAAAGGCGCATAAAGTTTGCATTGTGTTTTCTTGATTTCGTAGACATTTGAAGAGTAGGGGTGCCGCGAGAGTTTTTTAGCACAACAAGGGTGCCGAGGTGAAAAAAGTTTGGGAACCCCTGCTCTACATCGTGTATTTCGTTTGGCAACTGTTTTTGTTTTTTTTTTATTCAAAATGCTGCTTGCTGCGATATCGGCAGATGCTTACTGTAAAGGCCGGTCCACAAAGAACTTTCGCTTTGGCTTCGCAGTTGGCGTTGGTTTGACAGAACGCAGGATAAAAGTATGCTTGCTACAATGAACGCTTGGCAGCGAATGCTTGGGCCACTAAATTAACATACTAACGACAGATAAATTAATATTTCATATCAATAATTGCATTAAAAACGATATTTCTTGCCCGCACTTGATTAAAAAGGGAGAATATTTCACACAATTTTATTTATTTGCAACATCGGACGAGCAACGCACGCGACAAGATGAGAGATGGCCATCTTTTTGCTTTGTGTTGGCGTGAGCGTTGCCGAATTTTGGCTATGTGGACGGCTGCATTTGAATTCATGTATTCATAGTCAGCTGTTGAAGCGACGTCAACGCCAACGCAACGCCAAAGTTTTATGTGGACGGGCCTTAAGCTTCTTGGTGTGGCATACATACATTAATCTTCAGCTTTTCCTTTATTTCATAAAGATGAAGTTGGTAAAAAACAAATAAGAAAGTCTAAGTTCGGGCGGAGCCGAACATTAAATACCCGGCGCAGGTAATAAATATATGTTTTTTTCACCTTGCCGAAAGCTACCGCTAGATGGTAAGCCGGAGTGTGTCAATTTTGAGGAAATTAGGGTCCTTAAATTTCGAAATATTGAAGTTTCAAGCATTTCTGAAATTTACCGTTATATGAAAAGCTGTCGTAATTTTAGTCCGATTTCAATAATTTTCAACATTTTGCTTTTATGTGGCAAGCACAATAACCATACCGAGTTTGGTACAAATTGGTAGAACGGTTATCGAGATACATATATGTGATCATAAGTGGGCGGTGCCACGCCCATTTTCCAAATTTTATCACAAACGTATTTCCTGGTAAAGAATTGTTGCAAGCATCAATTTTGAATAAATTAGCTTTAATATTTATCGAAGATTTTGTTGTTCTCCAAATTACCGTTATATGGGATGTGGGCGTAGTTATTTTTCGTCTAAAATCATTGTAAATATCAATTTTGAGAGTTTTATCGTCTGTAGTTACTAAAATATCGCAGTTTTCGTATCTCTGGAAATTACCGTTATATGGGAAGTGGGCGTGGTTATTGTCCGATTTTTTAAATTTTCCGCCATTTAGTAGGCTGTACCAAGGCCAATAAGTGTGCCAAGTTTGGAAGAAATTGCTACAGCGGTTACCAAGATAAACACATGTAACCATAAGTGGGCGTGGCTACGCCCATTTTCCAAAAATTTATAATATTCTTATTTTTCGTCTGAAAATTATTTGCAAATGTCAATTTTGAGTGAATTATCTTCAGTAATTACTAAAATATCGCAGTTTTTGTATTTCTAGAAATTACCGTTATATGGGAAGTGGGCGTGGTTACAGTCCGATTTCGCCCGTTTTCAATACCAACCTACCTTGGATAAATGGAAACCTACACACCAAATTTCGTTGAGATATCTAAATTTTTGCTCGAGTTATCGTGTACACGGACGGACGGACAGACGGACAGACGGACGGACAGACAGACATGGCTTAATCGATTTCTCTTTTCATTCTGATCATTTATGTATACATTTGTCTATGTCTATCTCGATTCGTTTTGGCTGTTACAAACAACCGTTATGTGAACAAAATTAATATACCCTTGTACACAAGTGCGCTCGGGTATAAAAAAGTTGCCGCTGCGCAGCAGAAACCTAATTTTACATCGCTGTAGTAGCATACAGAATAAATAACAAAGAAATGTCTGTTTCGCTTCATGCAAATTCTACACAAAACAAAACTCAACAATAGTTGTGTGTTTTTTTTACAAATTATCCAGTAACTTTATTTCTAAGAATTCGCTCTCATGGAAAAATTTGCAAAAAAGTACGCGAACGCTTTTCCAGTAATAATTTGCAAGTTTTATGAATAGCTGATAAATTGGTTATTTATTCGCAGCGAATTCCTAATAAAACAATAAATTTTGTATTTAAATAGGTTTATTTTGTGAAATTCAACAATAAAAACCCACAAACAGTTTCCTTGTTAGTTTAAATTTCATCCAGCAACATGCGATCAGTTGTTTTTCGTACTGGCAAATTCTTACAAGTAAAAATTTATCCAGTAAAATCCAGTAAAAACTTGCAACTTCAACTGTAATTTTTCGCTCTCTGAATTTCCCCTACTTTGCAAGTTTTTGCGTACGAAAACGCCAAAACATGAAAATTCGTAAAAACTTTTACTGGATTTTACTGGAAATGAGTAAAAAAACGCAACTAATGTTAGTTCAACAGATCAACATTCAATCAATTGAGTTAGACATGAATACATGCATACATACATATGTACATAACTATGTTCAAATTAGAATTGATATGGTGAAGTAAATTAGCCTCTTTTTATGGTAATCCTACCTCTGCCTAGCCGAATTCCATTTTTCCAACGCTGTAGTGGCATGCACAAACAACTGCAAAGTTGATAAATTAGCATTAAAGGCTAAGTATTTTGGCTTATACAAGGTGGAATTTCGTTACTAAATATAAAAAAAAATCTTTAATATAACAGAATGGTGCGAAGTGTTTAAAAATGCAAGAAATTTGCAAAGACAAACGAGAGCCGCAAGGGCAATGGCCCATAATCGGAGAATAGTAGCGGCGGAGCGAATAGAAATGATGACTGCAATCGGAATTAGATCTGCGTTTATTTATCGACTTTAAATCAATTATATGCGTGATTTTTACAATAAAAGTCTATCTACACATATCAGTTCCGTACCTATCAGTGTCATAATACAATATCGTTGCCCCAGTCCCAAATAGAGTTGTTCAGACCGTCTGGCACAGTGCCGTTTTTTACCGTCAGTGCTGCTTCAGTGTTCGTTCCGCAATTTTTTTATACACTCTAAAAACTGCATGTAAAACTGCTACTTAAAATTGTTTATTTTCAAACAAAATCTGTGTAAGTATAAGCATAAGATGTTCAAGACTAGATTTTTGAACATGAGATGTTTAAAATATACATATGAAATGTTTGAAATTACAAACGTTTTTAACGTAAAAATGCATTCCCTACTAAAAATTAAAATTAAGTACACATTATGTGTAATTTTTCTCTACGCGACAAATTTGGTAAACAGGCTGTGTTTAATTTTATTAACACGATGTCTAAATTTGCACACATTAGGAGAGGAAACATACAAAACCTTTCAGAGCAAATTTTAAACATTTTATGTATAAACTGTGGAATTGTGAACACTAAGAAATTGCTATAGAAATGTTTGTAGTTAAGTTTAACTAATGATTTATCAATACTTTACAATAGTTAAATTAAAGGCCCTAAGGGCCAAATTAACAGTGCTGTACTGAAATTCTGTAGTTAACTGCCGATTCTGAGTTAACTACGCACTGTGAGTTTGGCCTTAAGTGTTTAGAATTCAACAAACCAATTTCAAATTTGTTCCACGCCACACATATGGTAAGTAAAAATTAAAAAGCAATTTATTAACACGGTGTGCAAATTTGCATAAATTGAGAGAGGAAACTGGTTACCTTTTTTAATATGCTTAAATTTAGTAAAATATGTCTGCACACCGAACTTGACAAGGGATGAATTAAATTCGTTCCAAAATAAATCAAAATAAGTCACCTTGGTTTCAATGAACTTCATTTTACTGAAAGTACCGGACGACATACTACGGGGGTGTGTGAATTGGTATCATTGATCGATACTGATTGGCAATGATACTGAACTGATATGGCACAGATTTGTGAAGATAGATCTTAACTTTTATTATTATTACAAATCGATTACAACACATTATATGTACATACATATGTACTAGGGTTACAATGGCCGGCCAGATGAATTATAGATACTAATAAAGGCAAAATTCTTCCCCTGAAGAGGTTTCCCCATTTGAGTTTCAATGCAAAATTACACACGAGGCGTCGGGAAACACGCCGGGTATTTGCTAGTAGGTCACATAGCTTGAGCTTTGAGGGGTCACTTATCGGTGAAACCTGTTTAGTTTAACCTTATTTGGCAAGTCATCCCATCGCCCCTCCCCAACGATGTGAGCGCAGTGGAATATAGATTGAAAAATCAGTTCAAATCAGCACAAATTTCCGAAAAATAATGACATTTGCGCTCAGAATTGGGAATTGAAAATTTTCAGTACAGCGAGTGAGATTTCAGTACTGTCCTTCCCAAATCAGTTATAAGAATTATTAGAAAGACACATACAACATTTGGTCTTTGATTACAAAAACCTGCATTAAGTTTTATGTTTTGGTCAAAAGGGTGTATAAAAAAATGTTCACTATTTTATTCTGCACCAAACCGCTTTGAAGCAATTTTGCCTCGTGAATGATCTTGAAAGATGCAACCAAATAACTGAAACCATCTTTTTTAGTCCGTCTTTTGGCTTCAGGTCCTGGGCCTAAGGTTTTTCCACTAGATGTCCTTTTCTTTCTTCAAGCTATTCAAAAATGCGCGGGGAGGGAAAAAATTCCGAAGTTTGGAAATTTCATATATTTCGGAGTTGCTCTACTGTATACAAGTGCATACATACATGGGCGTAGCCGGGTGCTTGAGCCCCGCCCCCCTAACTTTCAAATTTTCCTTATATATATATAAAATAGTAACCTGAAATGCCCGCTTAATAGGGTCGAGTCCCCCCCTAAATTTCATTCTGGCTACGCCGATGCATACATACATATAACGGGTGATTTTTTTGAGGTTAGGATTTTCATGCATTAGTATTTGACAGATCACGTGGGATTTCAGACATGGTGTCAAAGAGAAAGATGCTCAGTATGCTTTGACATTTCATCATGAATAGACTTACTAACGAGCAACGCTTGCAAATCATTGAATTTTATTACCAAAATCAGTGTTCGGTTCGAAATGTGTGCGATTTATGGTCTACATAATCGACCAAGTGAGCAAACAATTAATGCGATTGTGACCAAGTTTCGCACTCAGTTTACTTTATTGGACATTAAACCAACCACACGAATGCGTACAGTGCGTACAGAAGAGAATATTGCGTCTGTTTCTGAGAGTGTTGCTGAAGACCGTGAAATGTCGATTCGTCGCCGTTCGCAGCAATTGGGTTTGCGAAACACATTTCGAACCGAACACTGATTTTGGTAATAAAATTCAATGATTTGCAAGCGTTGCTCGTTAGTAAGTCTATTCATGATGAAATGTCAAAGCATACTGAGCATCTTTCTCTTTGACACCATGTCTGAAATCCCACGTGATCTGTCAAATACTAATGCATGAAAATCCTAACCTCAAAAAAATCACCCGTTATAAAAAGGCATTAATATACATATGTATATACAAACCTACGAGCGGTGTATTGTCAGCCAATATCGGCAACAGTTGCGCAAAATATATGAGAAAAGCAGCAATCAATACAATTACAATGGTATTCAATAATATTTTTTCGCCCATTCGTGGTGGCAGCCAAAACGAGGAAAGCGCCAATAATATAATGCAGGAAGCTGGAGTGAAGATAACCGCTCCGTACATTGACGAACGACGCTGTAGTTTAAATGTAAATTCAATATAATTATAATAATCCTGTTTTCGATATACCGTATCGCAATCGACAATTTCCCATTCAGTCGATTGTACGAGCTCACTATAGTCCAAGCTGTCTTTCAAATCTAGATAGCGTGAATCTATGTAGGTTAACGCCAAGGAACCGACCTTCAATTTGCATGTTTGTGTATCATAAGGCCACGCACGGAAATTTAAACTACAGTACGCTGTGTAAACAACGGGCGGCACCCACAGAAAACTACCGTCGTGGGCCAGAAGTATTTGAGTATCGCCTAAATAATCGCTCTTATCGCCGGCGCTATTTAAAACTGTTATATCTGGTTTCCATACTTCTTTTGGTTTCATATGGATTTGAGTTAAGTTGTCGTAATCAACAATGTTCCACGAACGATTTTCATCCATCCAATTCTGAAAAGAAAAAAATGTTTATTTATTTTATTTATTGAATGAGCAATAATAATGAGATTATTATTTTACAATTTGAAAGAAAGGCATGATACAAAAAAGAAGGTAGTTTCAATCATGATACAAAAAACAAGATAGTTCCATTGTCACTTTTTCGTCGCCATATTAACAACCTGACAATTAAGCAGATTGGGACATTTCGTGCTACCATACCCATGGTGTAATAATAACAAGGTGTTGTCAGTAACTTAACCTCACTTTTTCGGCAGGTCTATTCCGGTCACGCATTTTAAAGTAGTATAAAAAGTACTAATTATTTAGTACTTTTAATCCGTTCGTGCATACTATTTCAAATTAAATGTAGAAAAATGTTTAATTACAGGCTTATAAGCCTGAATATATGTTTGTATCGTCAGTTCCACACAGGTTGGACATATATTGTAAATAAGGCAATTTCCTATAAAACTGTAAATGATTTTTTAAATAGATTAATAATAATAATAATAACAATAGATTGGCGCTTACACATATGTTAGTGTTTGGCCGAGCTTCTCCTCCGACTTGTGGCGTGCGCCTTGATGTTGTCACACAAAGCGGAGGGACCTACAGTTTTACGCCGACTCCGAACGGCGATTGCATTTTTATGAGAAGCTGTTTTTTATGGCAGTAATACACTCGGAGGTTTTCCATTGTCTGCCGAGGGACGACAGCTGTTAAGAAAACACGATTTTTCTATATTTTTTGCGATGTTGCTTTGACCAGGGCTTGAACCCAGGTACTGCGGAGTGAAGCGCGCACTGCTTACCACTACGCCACAGCGGCTGACATATAGATTAAAACACATAAATATCGATAATATAAGCACAATCATAATTTAAACATGCTGCCACTCTATTCTAGTGTATCAGTAGTCCAGTTGGCTCGATATTATGACAATGCAGCAAAAGATATTTAATATAAAAAAATCGCCTTTCCATACGATTTTTGTGTACGTCTTTTTCCATTGATAACTACGATATCTTTTATATTTTGAGGACAAAAATTATACAAATCCAGCAATTTTAAATATTAATATCGTTCTGAAAACACCAAGTTCTTTGAAAATCGCGATAAAATGATTTACTAAAATGGAGTATTTTAAATACAATTTCCCAACTAATAGCATTATAAAAATTAAGATCGGCAGCACTGAAAATAAGCATGCCGATCTTGTCAAAATTAGAACAAACACGTCGCTACTGACAACACCTTGTTATTATTCCACCATGACCATACCCAATATCTAAAATCCTTGAAATTTTCTTATTATTTTTGGGTCGATTTAAAAATCTTTGTTCTTAAGCATAGTATTTTATTCCTGTTTCACGCGAAAAAGCTGTTAAAATGCATATAAAACTTCTTTCTGTGAAATAAGTGTGAAGTTTGCAACATGAAGCTAGCAACACAATTTTCATGACATTTTTAAATACACATATACATTTTAAATTGTGTGAAAGCTGACAGTTTATAGAATTCAGTAGCGGCGAAAACAAGGGGGGTTAAGTGGTTAAACCTTACCCAAGCCGATCATAAACTTGCGACGCAATTTCAGCTTATGCCTGTCGGTCTTGGCAAGAATGTAATCATGGTTTCAATAAACAACTTTTTGATTAAAAAGCAGATTTTTGACAATTCCTCAATTGTGAAAAATTCGAAGCGGCATTGCCCAATTGTAAGTTTTTTGGTGTGGGAGATTTTATATCCTAAATTTGGGATTATAAATAAAATAGTTGTGTTAATATTTACCTTTTAAAAATAATTAATATCTTATCTTAAAAACGTTTGAATTTTATATTAAATTCGGTAGCAACTTGCCAAATCAATATTTTTATATTAGTACAATTTTAGTGAACATATTTTAAAATTTTTTAGTGTCCTCATGTCATCTGATTATTTCACAATGTAGTTTTCTTTATCGGATACGATGATTCCGATATAATTCAGACACTGAAATTATACATTTATTTAATACATATTGTCTTTGTCCATTTAACAGCAAATGGAATTTACTTTGGGACCCATAGGCCGCGAAATTTTTCCAGCAACACATATTGTTTTCAGATGAAATTTTGACACACCCAAAAGTGAAGTATAAAATAAATAGATACAAACAAATTTTCAATCAAACTGATTTGTGTAGTTCAGGGGCGTCTTTTGGTAAATGTTCTGGAGGCTGTTTTAATATATCCTATCTTATTATATATTTCTTAGCTTTTCTACATTCTGAGAAGTTGAGAGAATGAAGTCTAATGTTCTTTTTTTGGTCAACTACGACGTTTGATTTAATTTTTTGCAATCATTAGTTCATTTCCTTTGAGGAGTCACAATGCCCATACCGGCTATACCGATTTTTTGGAAATTTCGGACACAAATCTTCCAAGAATGGTTATAGGCTAAAACAAAACCGATATCTAAAAGGGGTGTGGAACCTCCCATAAAAATCGAATTTTTCATAGTGCATATCTCTGGAAGTATTTATGGTAGAGTTCTGGAACTTGGTATGGATATATGTATGTATATGAAGTCAATCTCAAGCTCATGGAAAAATAAGGGTTTATTGGAAAATGCAGCGTGCCACCGTAGAACTTGGAATAGAGGTAAATGAAATCAATCCCAAACCTATGAAAAATGGGGGGATATGAAAACGGTCTAGCTAGCGGTATAAGCCATATACACTAAAATTTTGGTGACGCATAGATACCTCTGGAAGCATTTACATAGAATACTGAGATGAGGCATTTTTCCAATGGAAATATATACAGAAAAACGGGCGCGACACCTTCTGGAAAGTAACACGATCACAGGGTGTATACCTAGAACCATGTTAAGGTAAACCTTGAGGGATTACATTCTTGCTAAGACCGACAGGCATAAGCTGAAATTGCGTCGCAAGTTTTACGATCGGCTTGGGTAAGGTTCAACCAATTAACCCCCTTTGTTTTCGCCGCTACTGAATTCTATAAACTGTCAGCTTTCACACAATTTAAAATGTACATGTGTACATATTTAAAAATGTCATGAAAATTGTGTTGCTAGCTTCATTTTGCAAAAATGTTGCAAGCTTTTTCCCAGCGTGAACAGAATACTACATTGCTGAGGAAATGTTGTGGAATTTCACACTTATTTCACAGAAAGAAATTTTATATACAATTTAACAGCTTTTTTACATGAAATAGGAGTAAAATACTAGGCTTAAGAACAAAGATTTTTAAACCGAAAAAAAAATTAATAAGAAAATTTGAAGGATTTTAGATATTGGGTATGGTAGCACGAAATGTCACAATCTGCTTAATTGTCAGGTTGTTAATATGGCGACGAAAAAGTGACCTTGTTTTTTGTATCATGGAAAGGAGCACTAACTGCCAGGGCTTACGGCTCGCTGCTATAGTGCGATTATTTTTTCTATACAAGTTAAATCATTAGTGAATTGGTTGAAAGAAATAATACTAGTTTCTACTGCTACATTAATTAATACTACATTAAAAATGTGAGTATGAAAATACATGAATAAAATACATAAGATAAGTATGTACAAGTCTGTTAAACAGATAAAAATATATATGAGAATTCAAATCATTTTCCTGAGGTCTGTTTTGATTAAGTAATCTACTATTTTCCTGACGTTTTTCGATGAAGGCATCCTCAGCAGTTCCGAAGGAACTTTATTGTCAAATAACTCTTTCCTGGTGGAAGTAAATTGCGTGCAGTCGTCTAGGAGATGTTTAGCTGTAACTGACCGGGACGTTACACATTCAATTTTCCCCTTTCAATTTTCAATACACTCACACTTTTTCACTAACACACTTTTATTAATTACTTGAATTGGCAACTTGCTTTAAATTTTTCCCTTTCAATTGAGTTTCAATTTTGTGAAAATAAAAATATTCTAAGCTTCTGCATGCTAAAATGTTAATTTACAATGGAATTAAAAATAGAAAATGGTCTTCAGAAGCTAGTTGCTTTCATGAAGACGACATGTTGATAATGAAATTGCTTCTCAAATGGAATCAGCCTAAGTAATGGCTTCCAATTTTGATGATTTTTGACAAGCAATGTGTGTGAGGAAATTGAAAGGAAAAACTGATTGTGTGTCGTCAGCGTAATGTCGAAGAGCAGTATTGGCAAGGAGGTTGACTCACGGTTGCCACACACTTTGAAAAAATGTTACCAAAATTTTTTAAAAAGATTACCAAAAAGTTACCAAAAGTATTAAAAGCCTTTTTTCTTTTCTAATAAACAACGGGCGTTACATTAACACTTTCATGCTTATATTATAGTTGCCATGCAACTGTTTTATTCATCAGGAATCAGCGAGCTATTTTAAATAGTGGCAGAATAAAAATTGAAATTTGTGATCCAGTGAAATCATTAATTTATAGATTTTCATCCCTTTAGAATAATTCCTTGTAATTTTATTTAAAGTTAAATATATTTCAAGAGCAATTTTTATTTTTTTAAAGCAATTTTGAATAAACTTTAAATCAATAAACCAACATTTTAAATAAACTATTATGTTATACGAAAATAAATATCTTTTGAGGCAAGGATAGCTTCATTATTCCACAGGCTATTATTTTCTCGTCTGCATGTCGTTCAGACAATTTTTGGAGGAAAAATTTAAATACATAATAATCTTTTTAATTTGAAAGAGCGCAGCCTACTCCAAAACCCTAACTTCTCATCGCACATGTGTATGGAGATGTGTGCATATCGCCCATCATAAATCACAATCAAAACAACCCTACAAGACGCAACTGACGGAAACTCCAACACATATTCAAAATATTCTATACAAACTAACCCTGGGATTCAGTAATTCAGTCTCATCTCAAGTCACTAAATTTGAGATTATCAATTAGTGACTTGAGACGATTTGGGTATTCAGAAGGAGAGAGTCACAAAAAGTTCACCACAAATGTATGGTGAAAGCAAACACAGACAATCAACCGACAGTGTTCATGTATGCATTTTGCCCGCGCCGCTCAAAGAGTCGCAATGGCCGAGTGGTCAAAGCATTAGGCTGGCAGCCAAGAGGGTCCGGGTTCAAGTCCTCCTCGGCCGTAGCGGATTTTTTTTTTTTTTTATTTAGTATTTTTTTATTAGTTTTATTTTTTTGTAACAATCTTTAGATTTTAGTGTAAAAAAAACAAAAAAATACATTTTTTTCAATACATTTGTATGATATTAAAGCATTTTGGTTTATTTCCTAATGAAATTCTTTTTGAACAAATTTCCTCGCTTCTTTTTCGCGTTTTTTTAACAAAATTGAAATAAGTTTTTCCTCCATACTTCTATTTTTGTGGCCGGCTCTTAGCCAGCTGACAAATTAGTGACATATTTTTGAGACTAGAGACGTGAGACAGCGTACTGAATTCCAAACAGTCTCAAATTCCAAGTTCACCACCAAAAGTCACTATTAGTGACTAGAGACCGCTTACTGAATGCCAGGGTAATACATATGAATATGCGAACTAAGATTTGACAATCAATCAAGAAAAAATGACAGTTCGTAGTTTTTAGGTAAATTTGTTGTCTCTTTTCGTCCTATAGCACAAGCGCAGGCAAGAGCGAACAGCTAATGTTTCGTCTGCGAATGTGAACTTGTCAAACTCGTCGCATAGCTAGTGCTGCTGCATTTACGGAAAAGCAGTCGGTATTATTTCTTAAGAAGTGAATAACAGGTACGTAGCAACATATTTAAATGTTTATGCAAATGCAATGGATGAGGGAGCTAAAAGCATTGAATAAACAATACGTGTTTAATTATAAAATTTATATACAAACATTAATGAGTATCTTTAAAAATATTTGAAATCTCACACGTTAATTTGGTGTTCGGGTCGGTACCGACTAAAAAATTTTACGATCAATATCACTACGCAGCAAGAAGAAGATTTTATGGGGAACAGCGAAGTTAAAAAGTGACGCCGAGTTAATTTAGCAACAATTAAATAAATTCCAAGGAAGATAAGCATATATAGTTAAAATAAGAATATATTCTTCTAAAAACAATATATAGGACTGTGACAATGAAAAAAAGAAATTTTGAAAACTGTGTTAGCAAGGAAAAAAGACGTTATTTGTGCCTGGTGGAAAAATTTAGAAGACTGGAGGAAACATCCGATGTCCATTCCCTTATTTCAATTTGTGTAACATTTCGTTCATCTTTTTCCAATAGGCAGTACAAAAGGCTGAATTCGATGCCCAAACCAAGCTGGTATGCGAACTCAAGGTGATTGCGAAAAAAATTGAGTCATCGGTATACCGAATGACGGGCGAGATGGAGGATCCATTGCTAGAGGAAATAGCTAGTGTTCTCCCATTTACCACCATAGAGGCTGTTCAAGAAGTCGAGAAAAAACTCAAAAACCAGGAGTACGCAAGAGCGACGGTAATTTTGCAAAATGAAATTATTTATTAGATGACATTTCTTCATGAAATCAAAGGAGCCTCTGAAGATGTTAACAGTGTTCTCCGCAAAGTATTTAGCGCCGGGGTACTTAATCAGTTTAATTGGGAAGGTCGGTGGGACAAACTTGCGTTGGATAAACTTTATAGTAGAAAAGTTCCTTTCTGGTATATGCATATTAAACTTACATGAACGAACAAACCATTGTAAAAATAAACTCTTCTAATAAATATTTTAGATGTATTCAAGAACCATGGCGTATCGGACTTTCAGAAGCAAGTTAGAAAATCCGTTGACCTAAGCCGGCAGCAAAATACCACAAAAAACAACACATAAAAGCTTAATTTCTTAGATTTAATTAAGTATTAGAGATATGCAAACCCCATATCCAGATTATAACCACATTCCATCTTGACAAGATATACCATTTATTTTTTTGTTTAATTAGAATTTTTTTTTATAAAGCTATAGTTCATTCTTTAACAAATCCCGTTTAATCCAAGATTCAACTTTAGTGCAATATTTTAAGAAAATTCAAAAATCTTTCGTAAAAATTTCAAGCTTTTTAATTAGATTTCTTAGAAAAATTTTGAGTTTTTGAGTTTTGTAGCTCATTAATTTTAGAAAGACTAGCTGCAAGTTAGAAGTAGCTAGGGCTTACCGTTGATTTTCGAAATTTTTTTGTTGAAGATCCTGCTAACTTTTCATATAAAAAAATCGTCGAACATCGTTTTTTATAAAAGAAAATGACAGAAAATTGCTAAAAAGCAACAGTAAGTCATAGCTACTTAAAACTTTTTTGTTGAAGGTGTTGCTTATTTTCTTCTATATAAAAAATTGGCGAGCATTCTGTTTTCATGGAAGAAAATTTAAGACAAATTTCCAAAAAGCAACGGTAAGTCCTAGAGATTATATGGAAGAAAAAAATTAGCAACACTTGAAAAAAAAAAATCCCGAAAATCAATGGTAAGCCCTATCTACTTCAAACTGGCAGTTAGTCGTTCTAAAATTAGATGAGCTACAAAACTGCGCACTCAAACATCTTTTTAAGAAATCTAATTAAAAAGCTTGAAATTTTTACGAAAGATTTTTGAAATTCTTAAAATATTGCAAAAAATTTTAATCTTCAATTAAACGGGATTTGTTAAAGAATAAACAATATTAAAAAAAAATAAAAAAATAAAATTGTTAAAACTTAGCAATATGTTGTGGGTTTATTATTGTGATACGGGGTGTAATTTGAGGTTATGTTCCTTTTTAAATAAGTACTTTGTAACATAAGTTAATTTTGTCTAATTTGATTTGAATTCAATGCAAAGCTTTTAGTTTAAAAGGATGAATTTTAAATTTTTTCTTAATTTTCTATAAATTTCTGAAAACTTGAATCAAGTATCTTTGCTTTTTTCCAATTTCAATTTATTTTATTTGAGTTCAAGCTGAGTTTTTAGTTTAAAATAGTTAATTTTAGTTTTTTCCCTAATTTTCTGTAATTTTGCTATGAAAAAATATATAATTTACAAAAACAATAAATATAAAAATTACTTTTCAAAAAAATATTTGGTTACCGTTATTAGTAGCTGGTATTTGCGTTATATGTGATTAACAAAATCTGACGTACATTACGTCAGATGTGACTAAGTAGACCTGATGTATATGTACATTAGGTGTAATCAATTTGTTCTGACGTATACTTACGTCAGATGTGACTAACTAGACGTGGTGTATATTTATATAAGGTGTGATCAATTAGCCCTGTTGCATAGGTCTGGCGGATATTTTCGCCAGATATGTCTAACTACATCTGGCGGGTGTTTCGGTTATAGCTGACTCGAGCGAGTGAGAGGGACATATCTTTATATGTACTGAGAATATGTGCGTTGGAAAGAGACCTATGATTATTATCGTACAGGAGAAATTCCGTCAGAATTTTCATAATGCTCTTCAAAACCTTTCTAATATTTGTTCTACGGTCTGATGCATAAGTTCGCCATGCATTTCCGTCATATAACGCATCATATAAACGATAGCGTTCTTGTAGGGAAATTCATTCAGTAAGAAATTAGCTGTGTGTAATACGCTGTTTTTGCTTACGCGTAAAAGCACATTTAGCGCATTTAGCTCTAAATGCTACTCTAAATGTACATTTATCCACACAAAATTGCTCACCTAAATGCAACTCCATTTTTGCATTAAGAATCTAAATGCTAAAATCAACCCTGTGATCTTCCAAAATTTCCACGATTCGAACATGGTTTAATGGAAAAAAGTGGCAACATTGCTTTTTCGCGTATACAGTGGCTAGATGCGTTTCAGTGATCGCCGATCGAGATTTCATTTCTTATTTTAAATTATTTGGATAAAGAAAAGTTACGCAAATTCAACATCGATGTGATGCTGATAGAAATCTGGATCAATTTGTGATCAACTCTGTTTGTTTTGTTTCCTAATTAAGTGAAGAAATTTTAATTTACAGCACCGACAAATGAATATATATACAAACAAATGTTCAGTTTTGGTTAAAACAATTCAAGTTTTTGTATTGAATTTTTGGTTTAAAATTTATTTTTTCCTTTTCAGTAGAGCTTTTTGCACATTATCTTCTACGTGAGAATTGATCGTAATAGATATGGATCTGAATAAGCGACTGGAACACGGCTGTTTGTCAAAAGCATATGTTTTCGAACTCGCGTAAATGTACATTTGCTAAATGCGATAGCATGAACGCTCTCCGAAAACATATGTTCGAAAGTGCTAAATGTTGCATTTTAAATGCAGCAAAAACGCCGCATAAGGCTGCATTCCAAAACGTCAAAATACAAAGCATCAGTATCTTTTGTTTCTAAACCTCAGTAGATTGTAGTTCCAAATGTGCGCAACCAAGGTTAGATGCTAGTTTTCAACTAGGTTACGCAAATTAGACTTTCTCTCCAAGTGCTGGTTAGAAATAAAAGACACTAATGCTTTGTATTTTGACGTTTTGGAATTCACCCTATGTTATTTTGCTGCAGATAATGTATGATATGTATTCAAAAATATTTTAATGTTTTAAAGCATTTTGTCTGAAAGTTACCAAATGAGATCGTAAGTTACCAAATTACAAAAGAGAATAAAAGCTACCAATTTTGGTAACATTTTACCAAAGTGGCAACCGTGGCTTGACTCAAACCGTTTAAAATATGCGAATGTGTTATAATTGTGTGCCCAATACGGAGGCGGATGAAAGTAGAAATATCGTTGGTCCGGCACGCGGTTGGGTAGTTTGGTTTACTGCCAGTAGGATTAACATGCGTATAGTTGTGCTGGAAGGTATTCCATTCCTCAGTTCTTTGGATATTGAGGTATTCATTGATCAAACAGAAAATGTCTTTGTTCACCATATGAGTAGTCCGCTTGCAAAGTGCGCTATGTAATTTTTTTTAGATTTTTAGGTTTTGGTGGTTAACGTACCAGTATTTAAAGTAGTTTCATGTCCACTAACAATACAGTGCAAAATCCTTATATATTCTAAAAGAAATAACATCAAATGTTAGCTACTCTAGCAAAAGTCGCTATAATACTTACTGTGTGTATATATACACTTTCAAAAGTCGCTATAATATTTATTGTACGTATTTATACAAGTTCAAAAGTCTTCTTATGAACTTTCGGTGACTAGTGGAAGACGTCTTAAAAAAGAAGCAGAACAACCTTCATGGAATAGAGAACACGAAAAGCTTAAAAAAGCTGGCTATATAAAACTTACTATTTCAAAACTCGCTATATTTAATCTCTATATATAAATTTTGCAAAAACTACCACACTGCGATTTTGATTTTTAATGTTATTAGACTCTTATTTATCCAAATTTTCAGATAATAAAAAGAAATATACAATTTGGATGTTACTTGTTGTTGTAGACGTTTTTTTTTTTAAATTTATGGCTTACTATTATAAAATCACATAACGCTGCTTGCAAGTGGACTACTCATGTAATCAAAGGTTTGAAGTGGTTCGGTTGCGGCTTCTTTTGCTTTTTGATCAGCAAACTCGTTGACTTTTATTCCGGCGTGGCGAGGTATCCACATTATTTTTATTTGGCTTTGGTTTTCTATTATTAAGTTGCGAATACTTGAAACTATAGACGCTTTGTTCGAAACGTTCATAATGCTGGATATTGTAGATTTACTATCCGAACATATTATGGGTTTTTCCTTAGTTTTCAACGCAGACGACATTGCGTTGTATACTGCTGCTGCTTCTGCTGTATAGACAGAGCAGTAGTTAGTAATGTCTAGTAAACTCGTTGTATGAATAAGACTGTGTTTGGATGACAGATACTTAACAATATTTAGTCTGGTAGCTAGGCTTTTTCTTAGCCATAAACAATGTTCCTTAAATGTAAGACGCTTATCAAAGATAATTCCTAGAAATAGAATACTAGAAACATTTACAATATTTACGCTTTTGTAAATGACACTTAAGCTATTACAATTGAATTTCCTGCAAATATGAAACGATTTACATTTATTGAGAGATAGGTTTGCTCCCGAAGGGTTAGACCAGTCAGAAATATCATTTAGAATATCTACAAAATTCTTTTGGACTACGTTCAAGTTAGATAATTTGGAAAAAAGCAACACGTCACGTGTATGATGTGGGAGATATTTTTGTACTTCGATACTATGTGGCTTATTTCGTCTAAAGCAATTGTAAATAGGGTCACCGAAAGTGGAAATCCTTGTGGTATACCGTTTTCTAACGTGTGAAGGCTTGAAAAAACGTTATTTATTTTTGTTTTGAATTTTCGGTTGGTAAGAAAGGACTTGATAAAATAATATAATTTATTTCCAAAACTCCATTTCGCTAATTGGCGCAAGACAATATGTACGCCGATGCGGTCAAATGCTTTTTCGAAATCCAGGCTTAAAGTGGAGATATGATTGGGTTTGGATAAGCCGACTGCAGCGAAGTTTTCAAAGTACAAAAGGGCGTCAGCAGTTCCGTGTCCTTCTTTGAAGGCGACCTGATGCGCACTTACTAGGCGATGTTTGGAGATGTACCACATTATACGTTTGGAAATAATTTTTTCTAAAACCTTGCTCATGCAACAAATCAGTGAAATAGGTCTATAGTCTATAGTCACTTCTGATGAAGAACTGTTTGCCTTCGGAATGGGAAAAATTACAGCTTTCTTCCAGTTTTGTGGGTAAATGGCCGTAATCAAAATTTGATTATAAAGATTAATCAATCTTTGCTTTAAGTCATCAGGTAAATGCAATTTAGCAATGCGTACGAGATTCTGTTCGATCCTGGGATTTTTCCCGTAATTTCCGAAATTGTAGACTCGTACTCTGAGAGAGTGATGCCATTTTCAATTATGTTCGTAGGTGAAGTTTGTTGATTATAAGCCCTTCTAAGAGTTGAAACTTTCATTGGGATAAATTCGTTACTAAAGTTGGAGTTACGCGAATAGCTTGCCCATGTTAAAGCGAAATGTTCGGCTATTTCTTTGGAGTCAAAAATGGGGCCGTTTTGGCTTTTAACAAAATTAATGGTAGTTTGCTTGTAAGAACCCGAAAGCATTTTTATGTCCGACCAGACCCTTTTAAGATTCGTATTAGGGTTTATTGTCTTCGTAAAAGATTCAAAACAGGCGCGTTTTGCTTCCTTGCATTTTTTACGGAAGATTGCATTCGTTTTTTTGTACAAAATTAAATTAGATTCTGTTCTCGTTCTTTTATATTCTTTCCAGTTTTGCTGTTTTATATTTCTTAACTTAGACAATTCAGTCGACCAGTACGGTACAACTTTACTCCGTGGTTTGTGATACGACTGTGGTATGGACAAATGACTGGCGGATCGTATTATTTTAGTGATATTAGCAGCCTCTTCATTTACGTTATTTGAGGTTGGAAATTTGGCAGCAAAAGAGGCCGAGTACTCAACAAAACTAGGCCATTCTGCTTTCTCTATAAGAAATTTTGGCTTGGGAAAGCATTTATCGGAAGAAGGTGTGGCTAACTCAGTGACAATGGGGAAATGGTCACTACCATACAAGCAATCGAGAGTGTGGCTATTCAGTTTTGGAGCGATACTTGCAGAGCAAATGGAAAGATCAACATGCGTAAACGTCTTATGCGTGGGTCTTCCATAATTTAAGTCCATCAAATTTTCTGTAAAAATGAAGTTCTCCAAAATAGTACCTCTTCGATTGGTGTCTGGGGAGCCCCAATTTGGCGACCAAGCGTTAAAGTCACCAACACAAATTACTGGTGTAGAAACAGAATTCAAAATCTGCCTAAGTTCTGCTAGAGAAAAGTTTTGTTGTGGTGGCATATAAATGCAGATTATTGTTATTTTAAAGCCAATGTATAATTCTATTGCTATAGTTGATATGTATGATGGGATCTGGATTAATTTATGTTTAAGATCTTTTCTAATTAAACACGCAATACCTTGTTTGTTTGTGGAATTCTGCGTTGAATTGTGGAAGTAACCGTAAAATTTATTAGGAACAAGTGCGTTCTTATTTGCAGCGAGGTGAGTTTTTTGGAGGGTATAAAACAGGGTGAGTGTTCTTTGATAAAAGTTTCTAGCTCAGCATAGTTGTTGTAGAATCTGTTTAGGTTCCACTGTAAAATTTTAAACATTGCCATAAGACTAAAACAAATAACATGAATGGGAAGAGTTTAATATTCATCATCCGAGACTGTCATAGCATATTCACTTTGGAACTGAGAATGCTTTTGATTTGATGGTGAGAGGATTTGTAGATCGTTTAGCGTTGATTTTAAAGTGAGAGTAGATTGAGATTGAGGCTCATTGAGTGGTGTAGTTAATGGAGGTTTTGAGTTCATTATAATACTTTCGAGCATATTGTTGAAAGTTGAGTCGAGTGAGGGAAGAGTTTGAGATTGAAAGTCGGAATTTATTGCAATGTTGTTATTCGGATTATTGAGTGAATTTGACACAAAGGAAAAAAAACTTTGAGCAAGTGCATTGTTGTTGAGTTGGGGAGCAAGATTGAGAGCGTAAGTGTTGGAGTTAATAGCAGTGCTGGCATGTGATAGCTGCTGACAGGTGGGTTCGGGGTTTGAAGGTGACTTTGAATGACTGTTTAAGTCTTGCTTATTTGCGTTTTGACTATAAATAGAGCATTTTTTTTTATTTTTAAAATTTTTTGGTAAATTTACACGATGACTATGTATTTTTCTCGGTTACACATTTTTGTGTGTAAAAATCATTTTTGTTAGCGGGTGAAATCAAACAGCATATGTGTATTTTGTAGGTGGTACACACTTTCGTAGTAAATTTACGCACACCACAGCAGTTATATAACACTCTAAAAAGTCCGAAATTTAAACAAACTATTCGTTGAATAATTGAGCATGTAACTTCGCGAATAATAAGGTAGAAAATCAGTAACCTACCTTTTAGCTAGGAAACCTACAAAATTTTTTTTTAGAGTGGAGTTAACTCAAAATCGGCAGTTAACTACAGATTTTCAGTACAGCACTGTAAATTTGGCCCTTAGGACCGTTTATTTAACTATTTTAAAGTATAGATAAATTATTAGTCAAACTTAACTACAACAATTTTTATAGAATTTTCTTAGTGTTCACAATTACACAGCTTACACATAAAATGTTTGAAATTTGCTCTAAAAGTTTTTTGTTTGAATTAACGCATATTAAGAGAAAGGAATGAATCAAGTATGACGACAGTCGTCTGAACGATATCGTGTCGAGATTGTCTTGCTTCATGAAAACCAAAAATTGTTTGATCGATTGTGTGATACCGTCAACTCGATTCCAGTTTTGCTTCACGTAACAGTAACACGTAGCAGCAACACAAATGCATAAATCAGTGTTTTCACGACGTTCTTTTGTCAGTATCGTTTGAACGACAATCGTTTCAAAGTTACGTGATTCATGCCCAATTTCCTCTCCTAATATGTGCAAATTTAGACACCGTGTTAATAAAACTAAACACTGCCTGTTTACTCCTACATACCAAATTTGTCGCGTAGAGCAAAATTACACATCAAATGTACTTAATTTTTATTTTTAGTAGGGAATGTATTTTTGCGTTAAAAACGTTTGCAATTTTAAACATTTCGTGTGTATATTTTAAACATCTCATATTCAAAAATCCAGTCTTGAACATCTTATGCGTATACTTACACAGATTTTGTTTGAAAATAAATACTATTCAGTAGCAGTTTTACATGCGGTTTTTAAAGTGTGTAAAAAAATTGCGGAACGAACACTGAAGCAGCACTGACGGTACAAAAAATGGCACTGTGCCGGACGGTCTAAACCACGCTATTTGGGACTGGGGCAACAATATTATATCTTTCACTGATACTGATAGGTACGGAATTGATACGTGTAGATAGACTTTTATTGTAAAAATCATCTATATAATTGATTTGTGGTCGATAAATAGACGCATCACACTCAACAGTCAGAGCATACGCGTCTTGGCACCCACGTCACTGTTGACAGTTACAAGTTTGAAAAAGTAGACGACTTCGTTTATTTGGGAACCAGCATTAACACCAATAATAATGTCAGCCTTGAAATCCAACGGAGAATCACTCTTGCCAACAAGTGCTACTTTGGGCTGAGTAGGCAATTGAGAAGTAAAGTCCTCTCTCGTCGTACAAAGATCACACTCTATAAGTCACTCATCATGCCTGTGCTGGTGTATGGCGCGGAAGCATGGACAATGAAAACATCTGATGAGGCGGCTCTTGGAGTTTTCGAGAGAAAGATTCTGCGAATATCCGCATATTCATACTGCGTATTCTCTGTCATAGTATTAATAACACAATATTCGAAGGGTCCAATTTCACAAAATGCACTTTCACTAATTCCGGTAAGTAACATAAAATAATGTCAGGAGTAGGTAATAGTGTACCTTTGTACTATTTAGCATGTCATTGGTCTATTAAATACATTCTAGCGTGTCTCAGTCCTTTACCCACAAAAGCGGCTATAACTTTTTTTTTCTATTCAAAACAGTAAATGTGGCACCTTTCTTAAATCTTTATTAAATGAGCAATTTTTTTATGTAATGTAAAGTTATAGCTCAGTACATTTTTTTTCACCCGAGATAGTCAAAGTTGGGGAAGAAAATGTCAAAAAGTTAAAAATCCAGAAATAGTCCTAATTTTATGATGGTTCCTTAATATATTTTAACAACATTGAATTTGAGTATGGAGAGGCAACTATCTGGAAGTATTTTACATAAAAAATTTACTAAGTATCGCCCGGTTTGTAGTTGCAGTTAAAGAAAACACATGAAAAGGCACGATTTCAATAAATAAATATTTCAAAAACGGTGACACTTTTACCTGAAAATTTTTTGTTTATCAGGGAGCTCACCCCCCCACCTACCTTCCCCTAAAGTTTGGCACGTTACTTCTGGGACACCATGTATGACAACAACAGAAAAGTAAATCATTCAGGCACTATAGGCGATTTTGAAGAAGTTGTGGAAATAGCTGATCTCGCCTTATTAAAGGTTTTTATTTAATTTTTATATGAGTTATAATAAATTTAGTAAGGGCGCAGTCCTATTGCAAAATGTGTTGAAACAAATATTTTGAAAAAGTATGCGTATTTTTAAAGAAAATTGTTTGTACATCACTATTATATAAGTGATTTGTCTTATTTATTATTACCCCCTGAAGGTATTATATTCGTTTTTGGTTTTAAAAACAGTATTATAACAAGATCTCATTTTTAAAATAAAAGATTTGTTAAATCGATTTCATGAATTTAATTAAAAAAAAAATTGCGATTTTTGGCGATTTTTTTCAGACATTGCGCTTTTTTTTTAAATCTGGACACCCTGATATGTACATCATTGATTTGCAGCTGTTTGTGCATGCTACAGCGTTGGAAAAATGGAATTCGGCTAGACAGAGGCAGGATTCCTATAAAAACAGGGCCAAACTACTTTACCATATCAATTCTAATTTGAACATAGTTATTTACATATTAGGGTTGTTGCGAATATTCGCATTCGCACTCGCAACTGCGGAGCTTCCGCCTAAATTTTAACGATCGCATTCGCAATAATCTATGCGGAGCTTTTGCGAATGTTGTGCAAGTGCACCGACAAAACGTATATATGACAAACAAAATGACAAATTGTAGCCAATATTTTTGCCTGTGGTCGTGGGAGTATTTGTATAACAAAACTGGTCAAATGTCATATTTATCAACTTTGATAAAAATGTATTTAACATATTATTTCCTAAGCTATATAACCGAGCTATCAAGGGGCAGTCATACAAGATCGAACTTTTACTTGACCTTTGACGTACGTCAAAGGGAACATAGTCTTTTTAACAGATTTTTTTTCTGTGCTTTAAATACCTGGATTGCATTCTTTCTTTCTTATGATTTTTATGATTTTTTTGGACCAATCTAAAAAAAACTACTAGACACAAAAGAAGAAAATGTGCACTGTAATTCTTGACCAAATCTTCATGATGTTACATATATTTGTTTCAATAATTTCAAATGGGGCTCTTTGGGGGATTTATTTTTAGCAAAAATTTTAAAAACAGTAACTTTGTTTACTTGTCGGGCAATATTTTTTTCATAGGGATATACATTGGATCCTTGGCTAAAAACTTCTGTGGTAAAACTGCCCCTTATTTGCTATTTGAAGTCAAAGAGTAAGTTCCTTAAATAGGGATTTCCAGCAGAAATGATAAACGTCTGGCTATAAAGAGAATCGATGCTCAAATAATTAAAAAAAAACTATAGGTCTGAACCAAGGTACATTGAACAGGTAGTATCAGTAGAGCAGCTGATTTGATTGATTTTCAAATTATTTGGTCTCGAAAATGTCAAATATTTCTAATTTTTTCTCACGAAAATTATAAGTTGTTAAAATCCATTTGCTTGTGAAACCTTTTTCCATACAAAACAAGCGATTGAATAGCAGCTTTTGGAACGTTCGCCCAACTCGGCAGCACGACCGCTGATTACTGGGCCTTGCAAAGGATGGATCAATGCTTCGAGAAGCAAACAAATTTACTAGGAAAGAAAGTTGCATCAATTTTTATTTTTTCCAATTTCAATTTTTTATTTTTTATAATTTTTTGTATTTCACATGGCACGCTTTGATTTAGAAGAAAAAATTCAGAACAGTTGTTGACACTTTCGATACCAGAAGCAACAACAAAATACACGCAAATGTTGTTTTTGCTCTACTGATACTACCTGTTTAATGTGCCTTGGTCTGAACTTTAATAAGACAAAAATTACGCAGCTATCTGAGATTCAAATGCTTATAAAAAAACAGGGTGCTTTTTTTAAAAAATAACAATATTCCGATCCGGCTGGCAGCCACGACTTTGATAACAGAATTTTGTTCAAAATTTTCATTCCTGGAAAATAATAATTTATTTTCCATATCCACCTATTTAGCTCGCTATGAGCACAAATTTCTCAAACTAGTTGCAGAAGGAAGTATTAAAAATAGCAGAAACTAAAATCGAAAAATGCTCATGAAGTTACAGATTCCCCAAATTCTGAAACAGCCAATGGAATGAGAATGAACAATTCTTTTTAAAGAGCTTTAGAAAAACCTGACACATCTGGTTTGGCTTGTAAGCGCTGTTTAAACCACGATCTCGCCATTATGCTAGATTCTAATTGTTTCTTAAAAATACTTGACATCCGCATCCGCATCCGCGGATGTTAGCTGTTAGATATTCGCATCCGCGGATGTCTAAAATTCCACATTGCAGCATCTCTAGAACAAGTCTAACTCAATAGATTGAATGTTGAACAAACATTGTTGAGTTTTGCTTTATGCAGAATTTGCATGAAACGAAGCAGTCATTTCTTTG